TAAGATATTTGACTTCTTTTATAAGTTTTTAATTTAAGAAAAGTTAACTTTATAGATCTACATGTACATAATAATTTAATAAAAGTTATAGTTCTTCGTCGTGCTGCCGTTCCTTCTGCCCCTGCTTCTGCCTCTTGGCCTGCCTCTCAGAAGATTGTTGTTCTAAAGTAAAATGGAATAGAAAGGTGATTAATTGGTATCTATATAAACTGCAGATCATAACTAAAATAATCTTACAATATCTCTATTGATTTGGCGTAGCTGCCATATGATGAGCTGCCTCTGCCTTTGCAGAGCAGCAACAACAAGAGGACCTCCAGCTCCAGCTGGATGGAGTGCTGGAGCAGCAGGGGGATGTGGCTGAGGACCTCCAGCCAGCAATGGAGGACCACCAGCTACTGGTGGCGGACCTCCAGCCAGCGATGGAGGTCCTCCAGCCAGCAGTGGCAGACCTCCAGCCAGCGGTGGAGGACCACCAGCAACTGGTGGAAGGCCACCAGCTACTCGTGGGGGACCACCAGCCACTGGTGGCGGACCTCCAGCCAGCGGTGGAGGACCTCCATCCACTGGTGGAGGACTTCCAGCTACTGGAGGTGGCCGAGGAATTGGTGGTGGTGGTGGAGCATCTGGTGGTGGTGGTGGCGGGTCTCCGGGAGGTGGTGGTGGAGGCCATCTAACTACTGGTGGTGGTGGAGGACCTCCATGATGCTTATCATTGTCCATAAACTATAAGAAAACATAATGATAGCTAATGTAAGTTTTTAACTGAACGGACTTGCTGCTTTTTCAAAAAAATTGCTAAGGAACACAGAGGATAAGTTTGTGAGCTGTGAGCGGGAAAATGGCAACTGAACTGAAGCTGAATGTAAACTTAAATAATTTCAGAACAGGATATAGATCTTAGTAATGACAATAATTATAATAATGATTAAATAATAATTAGCTAGGCTATGAATATAATTTATGATTCAAAAATACAAAAAATAATGATTGCCATGAAAACTGTTTTTATAATGCGGTAGGTCTTCGTCTTCAGATGGTTCTTATTTCAAAATTC